TATATATATATATATAGGGTGTGGGCCGAAGATGATAGAATCATTATTATTTATATGTTAACTATTTGTTTTAAAAAACAACGGGGCACAATATAGTTTGAAATGGATAGTAATTATTATCGTTAAGAAAACAAGTCAAAAATACTGCGTTTCTAAACGTTTTGCTTTCACTTTACTTATTACACTTAGTAAGATCATTTTTCTTATCGTTCAATACGGGTAAGGTAAATGGATATAGTAAAAAATAACTTGTGTTGCTTCATGTTTTTTTGACGAATTTTCTTTTATTTTTTGTTCCTAATACAAACAATTGAATGTCAATTATTATTAGTATAGAATGAGTTTTACTTATTTAGAACTCGACAACAAGGTTTCTATGATCAATATTCATCATCATACAATGATTCACATTATTGGCATGGAAATAATTCAAATTCATATGATTTTTATGGTTCAACATTCATCTCATACACTTTTAAAACAAAATGGTTTTACTCAAACAGTTTATCTTTAATATAAACAATAATGTCTTGATGGTAAAAAAACGTTGATTGTAGAGAAAAAAAAAAGATTATTAGTTCAGTACATATTTACAATATTTCGAGAGAAACAAGCTACGGATAAAAAAAAATTGAAATTATGTTACATTGAACGTAAAGAAAACGAGTCTCTTAATGAATAAAGAACAGTCAACGTATCTAAAAACAACAGTGGAAACTACTCTCCAGTAAAAATCAGAGTCTAAAAAGACTTATATTCTGATTTAAATAGCTAATAGAGAATATGTCTGTTGCTATAATTTTCAAAAAAAAACAAAGATTTTACTCTTCTATGGAGTTTTTTTAATAAATACTATCATTCTTATCTACATGATAAATTTGAAAAGCAATAAAATAATCGTCAATGATTAAAAACACTAAGTTTCACTAATCGCCAAACTTTATTATTTCATAGAAAATATTTATAATCGACAGTTATGTTGATTTACAAATAAGATACATTTTGTTTTCTGTAATGATCTAATTTCTAGAAAGCGTTAAACTTGGTCCTGGTCAATCGATGGAAATGGATACACTGTATCGTTTTTAGTCATTTTTCTTATGAAAAATAATAAGAAAAAAATTGAATATTATTATTTATGTATAGATATGGTGTTGAATGTCTATTTCGATTTTATACATATGATCTAGAAAAACATTTTCGTCAACATGTATTTGAAGATTTTCAACATGAAACTCTTTGTAATCATGAAGCTGGTAATAAAATAGATTACACAAAAAAAAAAAAGAAAAGTGTCAATAACAAAAATAATATTTCTATTTAGATCAATTATATGGTTTAGAAAAATTCTGGGCATTTTTAAAATATTCTCGACAGAAACCAAAAATCAATCCAAAACTTGAAGAAATTTTAAAAAACTATAAAAATCTTGAAGATTTTCGTGTTGATGGCGCATCATTTCCACAACAATTTTTTCCAACAAAATCAAATTATAGTAATTGAAAAAATTTTTTTTTCTATGATATAAATAATTTCTTTATAGACTGTTCCAGCACCCGAAGCAATTGCTGCTGCAGTAGCAAAGAACAGTGATACATCAAATTCATTAAAACCCAATGGTGAACAATATCTGAACGGTGCTCACATTTTTTCAAGTGGATTTCGATTTAAAAGTATGCATGTATTTTTTTTTGCTTTCAAAGTTTATTGTTATTTAATCTTTTTCTATGTGTATATTACATTGTTTTGTTATTGTAGTAGATAGATAGATTAAATAGTGATGCATTTTCTTTTTCTATCGATAGAGATATGAAGAATTTTCATATGGTTTCGTTTTGTTTCTGGAACTATTTGCTAATAAATTCATCTTGTTTATTTAAT